TGACAGGCACTCTACCAAGGGCAACAAAGTGAGTCTCTGTCTTAAAAAAAAAAAAAAAAAAATTCAGTTGCAGAGAAAGACACCAGAGCAATATAATGTTTCCAAGACTAGGAGAAAGATACAATTAAAATTTTACTCTGTGGGAAAGACATGGGTTCAATGGTAACATCTTGGACCTGAAAATCAAATTAAAACACAAAGAAGTAATTGGCATTTGTAATATTCTAAAGAGGTAACAATTTCCTTTTAGGTTTATACAAATTATAGTTCTGTCAGTGGTGGAGTGTATCATGCTTTAGTTTTAATTTCAATAAAATTAAAATGGTCATAAATAGTATCCTTGTACCTAGAACTGGTTGCAAGCACATGTATGCCAATGCCTTCCGCATTCTCAGATTCTTAAGTGAAGAATAGACAACAGCTTAACACATTATCAGGTAAATTGCCTCCTCTTAGAGCTGAACACGTTCTTCTACAATATACTCTCATAAATGGATATTTGACATTTAAGAATTTTATTTTTTTCTATTCATGATCAGACCTGATGGTGTTTTTCATTTTGCTCAAGCAAAAAGAACACTAAGTGATTATAGTAAGGAGCTAGTTGTCTTCTCTTTCTGGCTTTTACCTGGAAGAAGACTTAAAAATGCTGTTTTATTTCTTCAAATAGAATAGTGAGAATTGGGTAAGAATAAATTAATTGGGTTATGTGGTTTATCTCTGATCTGTAGTACTTTAAGGAGCAATTCCAATTTTTTTTCACCTGTTGATTTCTTCTAATAGTTTAGAAAAAAAATGGCTCCATGTGCACCCACAAAACATCATGTTTCCCCACAGCAAAACAATCAAAAAGAAAAAAAATCAAACAGAGTTGCTATTTAAATACTCTGTGCTTCTTCTCAACTCTAATAGGCAAATGTAATGTCCAAGGCAACCAAATCTCCATAATGGTCTCTATTGTTGATTTGAATATGAATGGAAATGTTCTAATTCCAAAGCTGGTTCAGACTGAAAAGAGAGATTAATATATTATGCTATAAACTATTTCCTCCTAATTATATGGTGGAATCATTAAAAAAGATAATTAATTTGATTCAGAATGTCATCATAAAGCTTGTAGAAATATGATTAAAGCAGAACCATTTCACAAATATATTTCATTTTAAGTAGTGCTTGCTTAAAAGATTTAAAAAATGTTTATTTTAATCCTTGAATTCCCATTCATAGAGAGGATGATTGACAAATAATAAGCAAACCAACTCATCACTCTACCACAAAAATGTGCATTATTAATTGCATTATTTGCTTATGTACATTACACTATTAATATTTTCTTACATGCAGAATTGCCCCTTTAATAATGCGCACTATACATTCGAAAAAAGAAAATCGGGCCATCCTATACCTGGGAAATGCTTGTGATGAATAAGAAACTCAAGTTGACTTTGAAGTAATGATTTTATTCTGCTAAAGGACATAGCAGTATATGATCATAGTGGTAAAGTTGTTAACATTGAATCCCAAATCTAAATATTTTCCCATGTAAAATGCTTTTCAAATGCTTCTGATCCTCAGATTGACTCAGTTGTTAATTGTTTGTTAGCATTTAAAATCTTTCCTTTCATTGACACTGTAGATCTTCTCTCACTTCTGTCACTTCCAATTGACTGTTGTAAATAAATTAGACTTGACTTTAAGCCTCTCTCATTTCTGAATATTCATATTCTGTTACCAATAAATCAGCTTCTCTCAAGGCAGGGCATTTTAGTCTTGTCAACTGTAAATGTTTGTAGTGAAGTCAGAAGATGAGAAAATCATCTCAGCTCTTACACCACCCCTCTACCATCAAAATCACTTTAGCCTCCACTTTAAAGCATTCTCCAGACTATTCTCTTTCACCAGGCAAAGGCCCTGAGTTTATCAAGGTAATTTATTTTATTATTTTATTTTGTTAAAGAGGCAAAACCTCACCACGTTGCCCAGGCTGGAGGACAGTGACTACTTATAAACACAAACATATGCATGACAGCCTCAAACTCCTGGACTCAAGCAATCCTCGCAGCTCAGTCTCCAGAGGAGGTGAAATCACAGGTGAGCACCACCATGCACGGGTCA